TTTTTAAATATTTTCAATTTTTTAAAAAATTATCTTTAAGTAATTTAGTTTTTATTGTTATTTTAAGTCTTTTTTTTATTTTTATTACAGTATTTAGTATTCTATTTTTTTTTTTTCTCTTTAATTATTTTTTTCATTCTTTAGTTTCTTTATTACTTTTTCTTTTGTTTGTTTTTTTTATTTTTTGTAACTTATCTTTTTGCATTCTGATAAATAAGTGGATATTAGATTAAGTATCTTTATAAATAGATGAGTAGATGGTTGGGTATCTTTACAAATAGGTGGATGGATAAATGTCTTTGCAGATAGATGAGTAGGCAATTGAGTGTTTTTATAGATAGGTAGGTGTCTTTATAAATAGTAAATAAATAGTTGGATATCTTCACAGATAAGGTAGATAGAAAATGTCTCTAGGTGTCTCTATGGGTGGTGAGTAGAAGGTTGAGTTCTTTGTGTTCTTTGAAGTAGATATCTTTATAGACAGATAAGTGTTTTATGTTTGAATAGAAGTCTTTGCAGATAGTATCTTTTTGAAAAGAGCAGATAATATCTTTATGGGTAGATAAATAGAAGGTTGGATGTCTGAGTCTTTTAAACTCAATAAAATCTGTTTATTGGCTTTGATAGATGTAGAGGTAGCTTATTTCAAAATTAAAAATTTTACTATTATTTTTAATTTGAAATAACTAGATAGCTTATTTTCAGGTTATAGACAATTTTAAGTTTTTTGTTTAGAAGAAAAAGAGTAGAGTATTACAAGCTTTGGTTATTTCTATACAACTGTAAAACTTACAAGAAACAACTACAGAAAAGTTTTGTTAACTTATCACTTTTTTTAAAAAAATTTTATCAAAAAATAAGCATCTCAGCTTACTTTTTCCAAAAGATTCATATGTAATTTTTTAAAACAATTAGTATTGTTTATCTGTTTATATACATGAATAAAACTTTTAAAACAGGATAACAGATTAATATTTAGATTAAGCAACTATGTATGGATCGTAAAATAACACAATGGGTTACATGCCTCAAAACTAAAAAATTATTAAACAATACTTTGAGATTTTTGTTCAGATTTTGGGCTACTCTGTCTAAATCAACTACAGTATCTAGTTTAACTAACTTTTTTTAACTTTTTTTACACTATACATATATTATTAGAATATTTTAGATACAAAGTTTCTTTATCTTGTAATATATAATTTTTTAAAGCTTAATACAGGCTTATAATCATAATTATCAGATTTTTTTTTCTCTTTTTTTACTGTTACTATTGTTTGGGAGAGCTTTTAGAACTATCAGCACAATTTAACTCCAATAGTTAACTTTTATGTTCTTTGTGAGAACTCAAAGCAATATAATAATAAATATATTCAATTATAGTAATAACTCAAGCACATGAGATTATGTAATTGATCTGAGATCAGAGCACTTAATTATATCTACCAGTAATCAATCAAGTAAATAAATCAAGTTATGTAATCATAATTAAATAAATCAGTAATATCAATAGTTAATCAATACAACTGATAATAAGGGTCAATACTTATAAGGTAATAAAATAATAAGGTAATAAGAAAATGTATAATACAATCATGAAGCATTTTTATGGTTAAGATAAGGGAAATAAAATATAAAAGAAATACAATAATATAATGATAACTTATATAACATCAATTTGAGAAATCAATTCTTAATACTCCTATATTAAAGACAATGAAATCTAAAGCTTTAATCAAAGAGCAAAAAGGTAGCTCTTTTATACTTTTGAAATATATAGAAGGCTTACTACAAGAAACTAAGTACATCTCTATTCTTTAGTCCATGTCTGTTCTTTGTTTTAACTTCGCCTGACCAGACCTATACCTTCTAAGCCAGGTCTTTGATTATCATTTCAGGTCCTTACATTTAACCTCCCTATTTACTTTTTATTCTAAGATCTTATCTAAGCTTTAGTACATATCTAATCTTTACGTCATACAATAACAAACAAATAAAAGAAATCTACAGATATAAAAATAAACAGAAATGACAAATAAATAAATATTTGTACAGATCTAAACTTTTAAGCCTTTGCTTCTAATTCAGCCTCATAATTTCAATAGGGTTCCAAATATATACATTCTTGTTACTACCAGTCACGATTTTTCAAAGAAAAAGTATAATATACCCTCTCATTAGGTGTAAGCTCCTGCGAATATCTAGTCAAGGTCTAACATTTGCACAATTTCTTCTTGGCTTCCCTTCTGAGCCTCCTCAAGCAATAGGTTAAAGTTCTCGATGCTTATTATTAATAAAGCGTTGGCAGATAAATGACGCGTAATTAACAAATTATACGCACCTCGAACATGGTATAAAGCAAAAGCATGACGAGCAACCCTTAAAGTATTTTTAAAATGATCAGAGATAAATCGGTCTCTTATTTCTTCTTTTGCATATGTATTTCAATTATATACGGCCAACTTTCCCCCAACTGGTAATAATACCGAAGTAAGGTAGCATAATCCAATCGACAAAATTGGAGTTGAATACAAAGGTAATCTATTTGTTGACACCAATTTTCACCCTCTACCTTATCAATCTCCATCATAGGATTACTAATTCTATGAAGATCTTTAACAAATAGAGGCATTCAGTTTCTTTCTATTAATTCTTCATTTATATCAGGTGCAAAATTAACTTGAACTTGTTCTCTCTGACTATCGAGAAACTCAATAGTATTATTAGTAATACGAAGAACTTTCACGGAGGATCCTCTAATTATACTTGTTAATCAAACCTAGACAAATCCCAAACCCCTAAAAAGTAATTGCCATTTATAAAAAATTAAATCAAACAAATAATTCTAAAATTCTATAAATATATTATCTATAGCTATAAGAATATATTTGATTTATTTAAACAAAGATTATTAATAAAATTTTTGAGCTATGAGTTTGGCCAGACTCTTTGGGTTTGTTCACATTAAGTAAACTTAAAGTAGACAAACCCAAAGGGTCTGGCCAAATTCATAGCTTAAAAATTTTATTAATAATCTTTGTTTAAATAAATCAAATATATTCTTATAGCTATAGATAATATATTTATAAAATTTTAAAATTATTTGTTTGATTTAATTTTTTATAAATGGCAATTACTTTTTAGGGTTTGGGATTTGTCTAGGTTTGGCTAACAAGTATATCTCTAATAGATCTTTGTAATTTTAAAAGAAGTTTTAAGATAGGGGCGAATACCTGAAAAGATTCTATACTTAAGGGAACAAGAGTCAATTCGGGCTATATTTATAAGTTAAAGGATTTTTTTCTACTGGAGACTCTACATATCATTTTAACCAGTTTTCATGCACCGTCTTCCTAAGAATCTTTTCTCTTTTATTAGGCTTATCATTTGTAATTTCACTTATCGTTCTTATCTTATATGAACCATTGCTACAAACATTATAAATATAATATGGGCCTGTAAATTTTGGTTTCAATTTCGCACTATAAGATGTTAACAAGAAGGATCGTTCCAATAACACCTTATCACCAATCGAATAGCTTTCAATTCGTTAGCTTTGATCATGACATGCTTTTTGTTTATCTTGAGCTTTTCTAATACTAGTTTTAGCCTGATAATGCGATTCAACTAGCTATCCTATCAAGCTTTCTATTCATCGTAATAATTGGTTCTGTAATTCCTCCTCAGTAATCGGTTCATTTGGATAAGTCAGAATTATAGTTTCTACAGGTAACAAAGTATCTCGACCGTACATAAGAAAAAAGAGCTCATAACAGGTAACAGAATGTCTATTTGTCTAATAGGTGAATAGTGCTGCCGGTATATAATCATTCCAATCACCCTTATTTTGTTCAATGTATTTTGCTAAAACTTCACATAATGTTCGATTAAAGCACTCAACTAATCTGTTCGTTTGAGGATAATAAGCTATTGACTTGAAGCGATGAATTTTCATTTTACAACACAGTGCATCCATGATTTTATTACAAAAATAGATTTCTTGATCTGAAAGTAGTTCACATAGACTCCTGTGATGACAAATAATATCCTCAAAGAGAAAAGTAGCTACTGTTTTAGCATCAGCCTGTTTAATCGCATATGCTTTTGACCATCGGGTCAAATACTCTGTTGCTATAACTATATATCGGTACCTTTTCATAGTAACTGGAAGCAGTCCAATGATATTAATACCTATTCGATCAAAAGGCTATCCAACTCGAATAGGATGAAGAGGTTCTCTAGTATTGAGTTTTCTTCTTCTTTGGCATGAGTCACATAATGCAACAAAATCTCGAATATCGTTTCTCATCTGTGGCCAAAAATATCAGGTAAGAATTCGCTAGTATGTCGCTTCTTTATTAAAATACCTAGCTAAAAGATCCAAATACATCGCATATAGAATAGGCTTTATTTCTTGCGGTTTTAATATTCATAATGGTCTGAGAGAGTTTTGAGAGTTTTTCTTGTATAACAATCCTTCTCGAACAAAATAATGACGTGTTCTATACTTCAAAGTTCTAATTTGTGCGTTTGTATAATCAATAAGTACCGTAGACTTACTAAGATACTGTAAAAATAAGTAATATGTATCTAAATCCATAAAATTTTCTATTTAATCAAGTTATGGATAATCCAAAATTGACGTCGTAAAA